GGAATGCTCTACTCGCAACCTGAAGTCAGCTACATCAATCCTCGTTCAAGCAAGAGACACCGTCTCTCGTACGACATCGTCATCAGTTCTACGTTAATCTCCAGAGTCGAAGTCTAAGTTTCGTGCAGCTGAAGTCCGCTAAGAAGCAAGACGTCAACTAGAGTTTGAAGATCAAGACTTGAAGACCTTCACGCACGAGGGGGAGTCAATAGCGGTCGCAGACGCTCTAAGAAGATGTCAACTCACGCCAAGGGGTCGTTAGTGGGTCAACGTGTTTGAAGCCTCCCAGAGTTAAAGAGCTAAGAGTCAATCTTGGACCTTTCTAAAGCACGAAGAGTTGAAGTGTAAGATCGAAGTGTCAACAGGGAAGTAGTCCTACCTACCCTCGAAGAAATCAAGACTGGGCAAGTTCGAAGCAATGAACTTGGAAGTAGTAAAGATCAAGATGGCCAGACAGGAAAAGCTTAGACCTTTAAGGCGCATGGAAGGAAAGAACATCGTTGATGGCAATTCGTCGGCCCCTATGAAACGTGAAGAGGTTGAGTAGTAATTGGTAAATGAGGGTAGCGTTTATCCTAGCCGGCACACTTGGAAAGTGATGGGTAACATGAAGACCTTTGGTAAGGAGGTTTGGCAACAAGAAGGAAAGACATACATGAATGAGCTTAAGGACCAGTTCTATGTTGGATCTCCCTAAGTAAGACAGGCTCGTGCGGCAACAAAGTCTTCAGGGAAGACTTACCGCTGATCAAGACAAGAAAAGATAAAGTTGGTTTGTAGCCGACTACCTTATGAAGAGTGCAAGGTTATCAACTGTGAACAAGACTCGACCTTCTGAGCTTCTAGTAAGGACAGGAGTAAATCTTTGGGCAAGGAACTAGGTAAGGCCTCCAGATGTTGACTTTGGTAAAGACTTCAGAATATGAAAAAGTTCTACCGATTGCGTTTGGATTAAGGTTGCAGTGAACTCTACGATCCAACCAGCTTTAGATGTCTATCGGGAAAGAATCATACAGATCAAGAAGGCAAGTTGGGAACTTGCGCTATGGATTTACAAAGACCGTGGATTGTGCCCTAAGGATGGATCAAGTTTCCCTTTCAGTGGTGGTTTTTGTCAAGCATTCAAAGGACTCCTTACAAGATTTTGTGAGATTTAGAGAGCCAACGGTCACGATGCCAAGGAAGATTTAAGGAGTACGCGGGTTTTTAAACCTCGATGATCTTCAGGTGCAATAAAGAAGGAAGTTTGGTTCGTAAATCACCGAAGTCTTGGGATGACAAGAACAGACAATCGGGTGCGCTTAAAGAAAGAGGAAAGAGTTGGTCAGTGCTCTAACAGATAATGGTTTAGCAAGGACGGACAACAAACCGAATCCCTAAGAAGATTAAGGAAGTTTGCTAAGAGCCTCGTTACCGACGCAATGATGAAGACCGATAAGGGAAGCAAGTCAACTCACAGTTGCCTGGTCCGTGTGAGTCTCGCTCGGCTGTAACAAAGTTGAAGAAGGGTTTGGGGTGAAGATGTTTGTGATCTCAGCGTATGAAGAGAGTCCGATATAGGAAGAACAATGACGCCAAATAGGTTTTGCTGCACAGACATATTGGTTTGAACCAGTAAGCAACTCCACAGAAGACAAGTTAGCAGCAGATAGAGGTCAAGCCTTCTTTTCGAATTGATAAATTACATTTGCCAACAATAAGTCCCTATGTGATAATATATACTTCTCAGCTCTCACCTACCAACCCCTGATCTCACCAGTTTCTTTTTCTAAGACTTATTTCCAAGAAACAGCTAACTAAGTTCTCATGTACAAAGGCAGGTTCTTGGACCCAATTATATATGGGAGATATCCTAAAGAGATGAAAGACATTTTGGGATCGCTTTTACCAGAATTCTCATAAGAAGACTTGGAAAAGCTAAAAACAGCATTGAATTTTATCGCAAACAACCACTACACTAGTTTCTATGTGCAGGATTGCATGTATTCTGCTTGTGGACCTGTAGATGGTAACACCAGAATAGAAGGTTTCATTGGAAAAATTTCAATCAAGAATGGAATTCCTATTGAGGAATCTGTAAGTACTGCAATCATAATCGCTCTCTGCATTACTTTTTTATGGTTTCTCAATACGCCACCTTATATAGCAGAAAATGGTAAGAGAACTGCCTCCTTTATATTTGGTTAGCATTTGGCTTATTCTACACACGGGGATTCTTTGTATCTGACTTAGGCTTTGAACATTTTATGGATGAATATTTTAATTGTGGTTGCAGCTGAGGCCATATTGCTTGGGTTTCAGCACTACATTACTCATCCCCACAACTCTGGTTCCTTAAATGGGAGGAGGCCGGAAAGGTGAGGTTTGGATTTTTTTAAAAAAAAAACATTATTGTTGTAATGGTTAAGAGGATGGGTTTCCCAATTATTCTGGTGTTTCATCTACCTGATTGGGAATTGATTGTCATTCTAATCAGGAAGAAAAATGATTTTCAAGTGTTCTTTTTAGTTCTTAAAATGATTTTCAAGTGTTTTTTTTTTTTAATTTTTTAAAATGATTTTCAAGTGTTCTTATTATTAGGCTATGATGGACTCTGAGGACACTCGCTTCTACAAAACCGCGAACGATGACATGAAGAAACTCTTGCAAGAAAACGAGCATGGCCCATTAGGCACCTCTATTATTGTCAGACCTAGTTGGTGATTGTATTATTTCAAGTGTTCTTATCAGTTTTTAAAATTATTTTCAAGTATTCTCTTTAGTTTTTAAAGGATTTTAAAGTGTTCTGTTTAGTTTTAAAATGATTTTCAAGTATTCTTTTTGGCTTTTAAAATGATTTTCAAGTGTTCTCTTTCGTTTTTTTTTTGCTGGTTTCTGAGTTTTCTGCAATGGTGACTGTACCGAATGGTGATGGACTCAAATTATAGTATATTTGGATAATTTTTCTGTCATTTTCAATTACTCCAACTACTAATTGAATGTTTATTTGGTACTCTTAACAGAATCAAGTAGTCCATGAGGGCCAAGTTCTCTACTACGTTGATCAGTTTGGTGGGGAGATGCCTGTTGAGGTTTAATTTCGACATATAATTTCTTAATCACTTGAACTACATTCAATGGTCTACAACTGCTCGTTTTTCCCTATGTGTTTCGGGTTGACACTTTTGCAGGCTAATGGAGGTATGTATGTATGTATGTTTCTTGGAGAGTGATACGATCATTTATAGATGTAGCGTATGACTTGATATTCTGGTGTTGCGATTGTTGGTGTATGTGTTGTGCAGCTCCTATGCGATATGGCGATCCCTTGATTGTCATTCTACCTTCTTTGCCTGGCGTTAAAGAGCTTTACGTGCAATGAAGTCCAAAAATAAATTAATGACCTGCTATCACAGGTCATTAGGGTTCAGGCCAATTTCCGACGAATTTTCTAGCAAAAAAAAAGTGATCGGCGAAATTTTCGACAAAAGAAGTGACCGGCAAAATTTTCAACAAATCTGGGTCGGTTGCTGGTCACATTTTTTTTGTCAGAAAATTCGCCGAAAGGTGGCCTGAACCCTAATGACCTGTGATAGCAGGTCATTAACTTGTTTTTGGGCTTCATTGCGCCTAAATGAATTGTTGATGGGTGTAATTGAAGTATTGAACCTTTAAAAAGTTTAGGGGCCTAATTAACTTTTAAACTAAAGTTCGAGGCTCTAACCCTTTTCCCAAAAAGAAATAATCCATATGAGCCTATTTTACATAGCTATTTCTTTCTAGGTCTTACACGGCTAGCGGCAATACCATGCATTATGTAAAGCATTATCATGAACCACCTTGTTTGCAAACAAAGCTTCAAATTAAGAAGAGTTTGTGGATTGGGCGTCATCAGAAGCAAGTCGTCTATCTCTTACAGAGGCAAAAATATATATATATGTATTGAAGATAATGCTGATGAGCATACTGTTTTCAACAATGGGGAACTCTGCTCTCTTTCTTCTACCCCCCAAATCTATGTATCTTTTAATTTGATTTATCCATAATTTTCTGGATCTACTATTTTTTTCACTCTCAAAAATACTCACTTCAAGCCCACAACATAATCAACCATTTCATTTCCATACATAGCTTACAAAACATAAACTAAAATTAAACAAAATGAATTGCAAAGGAAGGCTGGAGTGAAGTACCTGAAAAGTATTTTTCGAAGAAGTTTTCCTGAAACAATCGTGTGAAACCAATCCAGATCCTTTCTTTGATGTACGAAACCTTCCTTATTTGCTTTCTATTTTTTGTTGTTATTAAAAAAAATCATATTCCTCTCTGTACTGAGATGTGGAGAGGCTTTCATGCCTTCGGATCCATCTTGGCCTAAAGAAAGGATAACTGGGAAACATATACTCCAAGAGTGTTTGATTGGCAGGATCGTAGCCGTTCCATCATTTATGAGGGCAATACTTCCTGCATTGGAAAGTGCATATTTTAGGAGAATTCAAACTTCTTTGAAAGTTTTTAAGTGGTAATTAAAACTTTCCACCTGTCCCGGTGGAAGATCCTTGTGAAGATACACCCTCAGATTGTTATTTTGAATTTATATGGGAGTACAGAGGTAGGTTCATATTGTCTAAAATTTAATTCAAAATTTACAACCCACTGATAATTTTTTTCTTGAACAAAGCCCGTCTAACTGTTTGTACATAAAAATTAAATCTATTCGACTAAATAAAAATGAGACTGCATAGATTTGTTTTTCTATTTTTTGCTCATCCTATTGTACAATATTTCTTGTCTATTAGATTATCTTCCACAAATACATACCGAATCTAACTCAAATTTCATGGATAATTGTATGTTAACTTCCCTTATTTAAAATATACATAAATGTTTCTTTATCTATATTCCTAAATTACTCAAATCTTTAAACGAATATCTGTTTGCAAAATTGTCAATAATCTATAACAATACCTATCAATGCAAAACTGCAACTCAAGTTATTCTTATACAACCATTTTTTTCATTGGATCTTTATTGGGCATTGCAAAATACGCAATGGGCTAGTAATAAAAATAAAAGCTGAAGTTTCAAACAGATTGGCAAAGAGAAACATGGGCAAGGAAGTCTTGGTTTTTCTCAACCTTAAGCATGCATTCCTCTGATAATCCCACCCATGCTTCTATTCCCTTTTCATCTCCACTGTCCATAAAAATTGCCACATTCATAGCCTTTATTGCATTTGCTACCCATATCGGCTTTCCCCAACCAAAATCAACTTCATAGAAAGGGAACCTACACCAACTGCTTACTTTAAGCATTCCCACATCCTCCCTCTTCTCTTCTTCCCCAAGTCTCCTAAAATACTCATCAAGCTCCACCATCATCTTCGAATACCCGTCTTCTGCTGTGCTCAATGATTTTTGTACCCTTTCAGTTACCAGTTTATAGTCTACTATAGCTCCCTGGCTATGGAGACATGCTTTAGAGACATGGAAAACATTCCCTATGGTTTGTGGTGGGAGTGGAGGTTTCATTCTTTTCCTCATGTTAATTGCACTTGTCATCACATGTGTCTTAACATTCATGTTTGTTTCTTGATGGGCTTTCATAACTGTTGCCCATACAAATGATGAAACGGCTTCAATGCGAGAGGGGAGGAGAATATAATTACCCATCATCTTCTCCTTTATGCCCATTACTTGATCCTCATTGAACACAAATCTCCTGGACTCAATCTTGGGTGCTTGGGCTTCTAAGTTCAATGGCAGCATGGAAACATCTCTGCCATTATCTCTGCATTCTGGGAAGATGGAAGTGCTGTCCAGCACAATCCCTTTAGTTGCCTCTTTGTCGTCGCGATTGATGCCTGCCCAAGTGTTGAGGAAAACCGCCAGCGACCAACCATCAGCAATCACATGGTTGATACAAAGGCCAACCGCGGTTCCACCACAGGCAAAGGTGTTGATTTGTAGCGCGAGAATTACACCATCCTCGTCCAAGGTTGTCTCTGGCTTCACAGGTAGCAACTGTCTCAGGATTTCGATCCTCGGGTGCTTGGTCACATTTGACATGTCTTCCCCAACCTTGGTGCGGATCAAGTCAACGCCTTGGTCGTTGCACATGATTGAAGATTGTTTGGCCCCAACTCGCCCGGCAAGTTGATACACATGGTTTAGGGTTTCTGCAAGGGATGCCCTAAGCTTATTGTATCTCTCTTCCAATTCAAAGGTGGTGGTGTAGAAGAGGAGGACTGGTGTATAACCGTGTGGAGCTAATTTATCTAAGAGGGAAAGCTTGTGATATCTATGGCTTTGGGGTGTTGAGTTGGAAGGTGTAATTCTCTCCTTTGAGACAATTGTGACTTCCATTATTTCTATTTTTCTATCACTATCTTGATCCAATTGATGTATGCTTTGATTTGTTGAATGTATGTTATATATAGATTCTTTTGGCATGTACCAAAGAAAGATTCCTTAGGCACGAAATGGTCCATAGTTTGTCCTGGCGTATTTATGGATAAAAAATTGTCACATTTTTTGGATTGATAGTTGACTTTCAAAAGTTTGTACCTTTTTTCTTGTGCACAAGTAACTAATCAATCCAACGTGAAGCATTCTCACCAATTAAATAAGTTTTCTTTTGGCAGAATGGTGATGGCGATGAGATTGGAAATAACGCCTCACCAATCTCATCTGACTTTTATCCCTCTAGTTGAAATTTCTTCGATTTGTGTTATTGTTCTTATTGCTCAAATCACAATTCATCCAAACAACCGTTTAGAAACCGATTGATATGTCTGCATAGACAGCTCAACGGGTCACATAAGTAAAATTTGTCATAAGAGAACAATGACCGAGTCTCAACAGAACAATGTGAAGGCAACCTCTTAAAATGAGGAGGTTTCTTTGTAGGCAGCGAGCAAAAGTCTAACCTGGGGTAAGCAATTCCACATTTTATCATAAAAAAAAAAATAAATGATTGATCTAGTGAATTACTCCAATTATTTTTCCAAATGCACTTAAATAAATTATGTTAAATAAATTTTCAATTTTAAATATATTAAATGTATGTGTGTCAGTCTTAGGCCAGGTATGCTTGACCAAATCATTAAAGAAGCTTTAATTTCCTCCGAAGAATTCAGCTTCAAATTTGTGAAATAATTTGCGAATCAAGTTTTCGATAGCATTGCTAGGAAAGTTGTTTCTATGTCTGACTGTAAAGAATGTTTGAACATTCCATCGATCTTTATTGTAAACGTTTCAACATGAATTAGTTTCTTTATTTATTTATTTAAAATGTATGTACACTTAGTATGATATGGTGTATGGCAATTGGACTCAATTTATTAATCTCACACATTATTCTATAGAGATTATATGCTCTATGCCTCTCTCTCTCTATATATATATATATATATATATATATATATATATATATATATATATATATATATAAGAGCGCTCATATGCAGCGGGGTCTTACGGTGCGGCGGTGCGGTCAAATTCCAGAATACACCAACAGTGTTAACAATATACACCAACAGTGTAATAAAAACACACCCCAATGAAATGTAATAAAACATCACAAAATACACCATAGACTCAAAAAAACACACCATATAACTCACCACCCCCAATGGTGTATTTCCGAACAGTGTATGGTGTTTTTACTCACACCTAATGGTGTGTGTTCGGTGATGCAGGGCTTTGTTTACTCTGTTTTGTGTGGTGTATTTCCTAACGTTGATGGTGCATATTTGGTGAACTATTGGTGTTGCCGCACCGTAAGAAATAACCGCACCGTAAGACACTGCCGCACCTGAACCCGCCTCTATATATATATATATATATATATATATATATATATAAAGATTCGAGCTACACAACTTGCTTATGGTTATTTACCACTTTGAGGTAGTATTGGATTATAAAACAGCATAAAAAATGATTTTCAGTAAGGACAAATAGTATTGCTTCCCCCATATGGTTCTGGGATATATGGGGTCAAAAATCTCCATTGTTTACTGATATTGATTACCTTTTCCAACAAATTTAATTTATTAAGTGGAACTTTTGTAGTGACGTGAAATGTGTTTATATAGGTTGCAATAGGTTTACTTCTTAATTGTTTTTGCTATCTTTGTGTTGTAGCTATTAGGACCTATATGACAGTAGTTTGCTACATCTATATTTGTTTGTTTTTTGTTTTTTGTTTTTTTTTTTTTTTTTTTTTTGGTATTATTTCATATGTAGTCTCTAATTAATTACACGTTGTAATTCCAAAATCTAAATCTAAACTCAGATTTTTAGCTTGCTGGATCTTGACTTCTCAAAGATGACATTTCAACTATTCACAATATTTCAAAACGAAATATCCTTAGGTTACTTCTCGGATTAAGTTTATTTTCCGGTTAGTAATATTCATCCCTTAGTGAACCTTTCGGATTTACCGAAAATAATCGTAAGTCCAGAATTGAGAAAAAAATGATTGAGGTTAAATTTATTTATTTTTGATGATGTAAAAATCTATACTATTTTTTTGGTTAATTTTTGAAATCTAACTTAAATAAATTGATTTTTCATTACATTTGAGCGCTTAATTTGAGTTTGACAACATCTTTCTAAGCAATTTAAGATAATCTGCAAGACAAAGTAAACTGATTTCACTATAGTCAAAATTCATTACAAGTACAATCACTTAAGCAACCATATGATAAAATGTTGGGAAAAATGCGTGTATTCTGTAATACATTTAAGATACAATAAAATTACACAAGAAAATGAGGGAACAAAAATTGAATCATTTGATATCTTCAGACGTGTAATCACTTTTTTATAAGCATTAAATCTCCATCTGAAAAAGCAACAATGTTCAAGATTTAATCTTATGAGATACAAGAAAATGAATGAAATTCTCAAGTTACTTTATTAAAGAATTTCCCGTAGAACCGTAAGACTCTGAAATATCTTAGTATACTGCAAGTTGATTGCATCTGTCATTCTATGGGGATTAATAAGTAGTTTAAGTACACATTTCTCATTAGTTGCTTGCTCCTTATTTTTGCCCTTTGATTTTTCTATTCTTTTTCTATTTATTTTTTTTATTAATTGATACTATCGTCGATTACTTATTTACGAATAGATAATAAAACAAAGGTTATTAATAATACTCTTAGTCATTGAAAAATATGACACTGGTTACTCATTCCTCTATACTAAAAATCAATAAATGTACTTGGTTAATCGATTTTGTATAATTTCAAAGCAAGTATTTATATCCCATGTTTTGTGGATCGTTAAACCTATTCCCTATTATTGGTGGCTTGGACAGCGCAAATTATGTTGTGCAACCGAATGCACCTTGCAAGGTGCATACGGTTGCAAAACGGCGCCGTTTTGGTTAAAAAAACGCGCGTCCCACTTAAAGAAGAAATCAGGTTCGATTCCCGGCAATAGCATTTTTATATATCCAGAAATTCATAACTATATAACCACAATTTCATAACTATATATCCACAATTTCATAACTATATATCCACAGTGAATGAATGAAGTAAAAATCCACAATGAATGAATGAATGAAGTAAAAATCCACAATGAATGAAATAAATATCCACAATATATGATTGAACTAAATATCCACAATGAATGAACTAAATATCCATAAATTCATAACTATATAACTACAATTTCATAACTTTATATCCACAATTTCATAACTATATATCCACAGTGAATGAATGAAGTAAAAATCCACAATGAATGAATGAATGAAGTAAAAATCCACAATGAATGAACTAAATATCCACAATATATGATTGAACTAAATATCCACAATGAATGAACTAAATATCCATAAATTCATAACTATATAACCACAATTTCATAACTATATATCCACAATTTCATAATTATATATCCACAATAATGCTATTGCTGAGAGTCGAACCTGATTTTTTTTTTTAAGTGGGACGCGCGTTTTTAATCAAAACGACGTCGTTTTGAACCGTATGCACCATGCGCATGGTACATTCGGTTGCACAGCATAACTATTGCTTGGACAGTTGGACAACTGGTCAGTGGTGTAATTGATAAACTAGTGTGTGCACCCGTGCGATGCACAGTCATAAAAATATTTAGTATAATGGTCCTGTTTGGTAAAATGGCTGTTAGCTGATAGCTGTTTGCTGTTAGCTGATTGTTAATTAGAGGGTATAAATAATTGATAACATTAGCTGATTGTAGAAAAGTGTTTGGTAAATTAGTTGTTAGCTGATAGTTGTTTAGTATAATTTATTTTCTCAAAAAACTAATTGAAAAAGTTGCTTAGAGTAGCTTTTTGAATTTTAGCCTTTTGGAGTTGCAATTAACCAAACATTTATATTGATATTTTATTTAAATCAAACAATTAATAGTGATCAAATAAGCCAAAATTGGCCTATAGGTCAATTTTTTACCAAACAGGGGCCAATATATTGCATTTATATTAAAATCAATAGCCTAAGGGATAAAGTACAAATAAGCCACTGAACTATTTGGAAAAAAGCAATCAAGCCATCGAACTCAAATAACCCCCAAATAAGCCATTGAACTCGGGAAAAAAAAAAAAAAGAACAATTAACATTTTTAACAGGTTAACTCCAGGTTTTTGCTGACTGGATTACCAAATGTTTATTTTATTTAGGTTTTTTTTTTATTATTATAATCCACCTACATAATAATATATTTTAAAGTAATTATAATCAAAGTAATTTTGTCTTGTCTAGATCTAATTTATTTATTTATTATTATTTTTTAAACAAAAGATCGAGTAAAAATAATAATAAATAAATAAATCAAATCTCGACAAGACAAAACTATTTTGATTATAATTACTTTAAAATATAATACTATCCAAGTGGATAATATTAATAAAAATAATAATAATAAACGTAAATAAAATAAACATTTGGCAATTCAATCAGCAAAAACCTGGAGTTAACCTGTAAAAAATGTTAATTGCTCTTTTTTTTCAGGGTTCAATGGCTTATTTGCTCTTTTTTTCCAGGTTCAATGGCTTATTTGAGAATTATTTGAGTTCGATGGCTTAATTGTTGTTTCCTAAATAGTTCAATGACTTATTTGTACTTTATCCCATAGCCTAAAATGTGTCTTTTATTATAAATTATTAAAATTTCTTTATACACGACATTTGTAGTCGTAGTTTTTTATTATACATTTTCTTCACAAAGAATAACTTTCAATCCGCTGGGATTACTAACCCTTGACAGTGCTACATACATTTGACCATGATTAAATACCGACCTCTTCAAAAATAAACCAACGTTTGACAATGTCTGTCCCAGGCTTTTGTTATTGTTGGTTTGATATTTCTGATAACGGTGCTCTTGTGATTGTTGATTTGCATACGGTACCTTTTAGCAAAAAAAGAATTAAAAATGTACAGTTAACCTGTGGCACGTTTTTATTAGTCCAAAAGCACGGGAATTAAACTCCCTAAGATTGGAAAAAATATTTTAACGTACCATTAGTTATGTCGTTGCTTCCAGTAGCATAAATAGGGCTTTTGACTCCTAATACAAATTTTCTGCATTTGTTGTTGCTTGTTGTGTATTCCATATTATTGGTACTTAGATGTATACTCACTGAGTCTATTTTTAATAAAATAAACAACAATAAATATTAGCAATATATATGTTGTAGATACTTGCAAGTAATTAAATATTAGCATAACTATAAAAAAACTTACGGTTTGTCACAGAACTATTTGGTGTGTTAGTTCTATTACCATTTAACATTAGTTTGCATCTCGTTTATGAATTCGTTAGATTTTCTTTCCCAACAACCTCTCTTAAATTTTGAACGGGTGGATTTTGAGCATTTTCTGCCACATAGTAATAAATCGGTTAGAAATACATTAATTATATTAACTCAATAATTAGCTACGTAGATATAATATAAGTTTTAAATAGTAATCCAGAAAACAGAAAAGAATTTATTACTAATTTGGCAGGTATAAAAATATTAGTTATAATAATATAACAAATACAAAATTGACATGATATTTAAATTTAATTAGCCAATCTATAACATAATTCTATTAGGGCAAATTATTGTGTGGACCATGGACCACACAATGTTTTTTAGACCATAACATAAAGTAATTTTGAATATACTAAATGTACATCATTTTCTTACTTAATGTAGATTATGTATGTGCTGAATGTACACTCAATATCAAAATAATCTACATACCCTTAATATGTTGTACATTATTTTTGTGTCTCAATGTACATTATTTTTGTAGTGAATATACATTATTTTATAGTACATCGTTAGCCATATTTTTTTTTTTTTTTATCTATGTTGTGTACAATTACTCTTTTGTTGATTCTCTAAATCTCAGTGTTTCTAACATATAAATTTGTATTGTTTAATTATAATTATTATTATATACTCCGTAAAATATAATTGTTAAAAAAAAATCAGATAAGGATGAATGTATCATATGTTCGTACACCTCTCTCCCTGTCAGCCATTTCCGCCTTCACGAAATAATCAATTTCATTTCATTTCATTTCCCATCGAAACCAAACAATCTTAACCACACCATCGAAACCCTATCCTCTCTACACCATCGCATCCCTCTCCTCTATACACCATGGTCTTGTAGCCATGAGGAAGATGGGTGTAAAGCCTTCTCCTCTCTACATCTCGGCTTAATCTAACCCTCTTAAAACCTATCTAACTTGTGGCTGTTACGAAAGCCTATCTCTCTCAATACCCAAATTTAGGTCGAAATCTAACTACAGTGGAGCAAAATTCCTCATTCCAGGTCTGTATACTTTTTATTTCAAACACAAAATTTGGGGTTTTTAGGTCTGACTGTATTAATCATCTTCAAAATCCATACCCTAATCAAATTAGGTATTCTTTAATCTATTTAAGTTAATCATTTGTTAAAAACTATGCATGCAGTTAGATATTAAGTATTAGAAATCTCCATACCGTTAGGTCAAATTTCACCGAATGTGAAATGGAAAAATATCGTGATAGCAGATAATGATAGCTAAGCAAGCATTTCGAAGACAAAACATGGGGATATTAAAGCTATAAGATAATTATAGGAATTTACCTTTATTTTCTGTAATTTGTTTCCTTTTGATGCCTATAATGGCGGACTTTGAAATTTTCTTCATTGCAACTTGTGTTTTTCAAAACAATATCATTGAATGCTTCATTTTGGGTGGCCTATGATAGTGTTTAAAATTTTTTGATGCTATTTGAATATAGTAAAATATGTTAAAGTAGTGTTGCTAATTATGGCACATTTAAAGTTTTGGGACTTTGGTTAGTTCTAGTGGAACTGAAGGGTTTTTTGTATCTTTAATGATAACTGCTCAGAGCAGCAAAGTAATAAATGTTTTTTAAAACTCAAATTTAGCACTTTTGCTTGTAAACACGAATAATATCTTTTGTAATTGTTGTAATGTAATGCAGCATCTAGCTATTCACATATTTCTTTTTTTGATAGACTTTGTTTATATATTTTTGTTTGTATTTCCAAATTGTTATGCAAGTTAAGATTAGATTAGAGGTTAATTTTGTTACTGATTTGTGTTTTAGATTCTTATTATTACAAATTTTAAATCATTTAAGTACAAATCAATGTGTTTGAGTTAATTGTAAGATGTAAATGCTTATTGGCTTTACTTATGTAATTTGCTTTGGCATGCTTAGTTCTCTTTGTTTGGTTGCATTTGAACCTGATTTATTTTAAACTGAAAATATAGCATATTGTCTTAATATTTTAGTTGTTATACCAAAATAGATATAGGTTTTATATATTTGTTTTCTACATTCGCAGGACCGAGTGATTCCAAGTAGCAGTGCCCCTTTAATAAGTTCAGATTGGTTAGGCTGCGTGTTGGGGTTTATCTGTGTAGCAGTTGGCGTTAATTAGGTGAGTTTTGAATGGTGACCACCAAGCTGGGTGATCACATGATGATTTTGATGAAGACTAAGGTGCATGGCATATCTTTTTATCATCGTTTTTGGGCGGTATTAGCCCAGTGGCTAAATTGCAAGAAATAATTATGATTATGTAGGCGTAAATTAGCTTGTTTAATTTTTTTAGGGTCATTATTTGCTTATAGCAACGGTTAGTCTCTTAGCTTGTATAATTTTGTTTGGGTGATCACTTTTGGGGCACCTTTTGTACACAACTTATGAAATTCAATATACGTCTTCATTTTAAAACCCAATTAATAAAGAATTCTCACACTTTGTTAGTACAATAATCTTTTCCCTTATCAATTTGGTTAGTGTTAATGCCAACTAACTAACTTAGTCATCAAACTGTGTTTTTCCCTTAGCTTTTTATAATAAATAAATATATTGTTCTTATAATGGCTCAATGGTTGTATATAGCCCAGTTGCCACTCTAATGTAACCATTTTCAGTTTATTTAGGCCCAAGTTTTTCATCTTTGTTTTGAGTTTTGGATGATTTTATGTTGCTTAGATTTACTTTTCGACTCTAAGATTAAATTTTATTTTTTTCTCTTTAAGTGACTTTGGCAGGGGGAACACCAAGTTTGGTGATACCATTTTTGCTTAACTGAAGCTTAATGTGTAAAGAATATGTTAGTTAAAGTTGACAACATTAGGTTAGTCTAAGTATGCTGACTACCTAGCTTGGTGATCCCACTTGTGGGGTGTAAGCTTGTACAGTTTGATAGTTAACACAGATTATGAGTATAAATTTATTAAAACAGAATAGGATAATCTTAATTTAATCATTTGATTTAGGGTTTGTTATGTCAAACTGTATTCATAATCACCAAACCTCTTAGTTGTGGCAATATAATAAAATTTTAATCTCTTAAGCTTATTAGTTTTATAGTAGTTACTTGATTTGGGATTTCATGGACTCAGGTAGGCTTTTGCAATTGAAGTTTGCATTCGTGAAGGCAAACAAATTAAGGTACTATGTTTGTTCTTAATTCAGTACTTGTAAATTTGTAGATCTATTTTAATTTAATTTTATAGTTTGTACTTAATCTAATTAATTACCAACTTTTTAGGGTTGAAATTCACCTAAACAATCGCGAGTGTAATGTCATTAGCTCAACAAAAAAGGTAGAGTTCTCTGTTTGAATAGAAGATTTTGATACATTGTCAATAGGTTTTAATTTGCAGTATTTACACATCTATTCTAAATGCTAAACTATGTCGAAGCTGTACAGTAATGTCAAATCTGCAATGGAGAATATTCCTTTGCAACAGCATCATTCTTGAGCATGTACCTACAGAAAAAGCTTGAGAAATCCAGTCAATTCAAATAGTATATATAATAGTGAATACTTAGACAATTCAAATAGTTAATACTTAGACAATTCAAATAGTAAATACTATAAATACTATAACAGTCAATTCAAATAGTAAATATAATAGTGAATACTTAGACAAATTCAAAATAGATAAAGAGTAACAGTCAATTCAAATAGTTTAGCACAATTATAGTGCTATTACTGATAGATGGTTCCCCAAAAAAACATCCAAAAATTAAAACCACACAAAGGTGGACAATTGTCTGCTGAAATATATAAAATATTAGGAACTTAGGAACCATTTCCCTGAGCAGTCACAGCCTTGACCTTCTTAAGCTTGTTGGAAGAAGAAAACTGGTCCAACAGGGATCCCTTCACACCAGAAGCTTCTTCAGTTTCACTCTCTACCATTTGGGATTGCTGGATACTGTTAGGGCTGTTGACTTCATTTTCCCCATTTGAAGCTTCCTATAAATAGAAAAAAATGATTAAAAGTTAAAATCTCACATAAAGACTAAAAAATAGTGAAGTAAAAAAAATTACCTGATCAGATTCATCTTCCTCCTCTTCATCCTCATCAATCATTTTCGAGATTAAATCTTTTTCTTGGTTGTCCTTAATTTTGAAACAGTAGGTAGATATTAATATCCCATCCTTTAATTTTGGAACATTAGGTGATCCTGAGTTCACCTAATAGGAGAACAAAAAGGTGATTTAAAATGGGAGAAAATATAAATAGAGTTTAAAACACAATAGGACAATAATAACTTACCATTGACAACTTTAGTCCTACATAGCTGAATAACCACAATTAGTGGTTGTTTAAGATCTGCATTATAGTATGGAATCATGGCAGCTACATGATTGTCCCAAACAGTACATTTTAATGTATTTCCCCTATATTCAAATGTGTTAGGAAATCAGAAATACATTTGAATGAAAAAAATAGTGTATGTAAAGCCAACTTACTCATTGTCAGCAATTTTAAAATCAATTAGCTCTGCTGGTTTTCCACCTATGATCTTGTCCACAGGAGCATGAATTTCTATAACTCGGCCTATTACATCTGTAAAAATAGAAAAGACATTGAGATGTTACAAAAAAATATAATGAAAAATATTATACAATGAACACATGTCTTACCAAACATCAGCTTCTCATTCACTAAAGTAGGATCTTTGAGACATTGATAGGGTTTTAGCTGAAACCATGTTTGTAGGAAAACCTTTGAACAAATTGTTGTACTTCCCTTCCTTGAACAAATTGTTGTACTTCTCTACATCCTTGTTTTGCATATTCACATGGATGAAAGTTCCCTGCATATAATATGAATAGAAATTACATAAATTTATGCTAAACATAACAGTGAACATAAATCATATGAAATTAGTTTACCTCTTCGTCGCATACCAAGCATTCTCGACTCTTGATTTGTATAGAGCATCTACTTTCGTGTATTTCATACATACTCTTACACACCTAACACGGATTGCCCTCTCAGTATGGAGAGGGGCAATATCTTTAACTTTGATGTACATACTTGGCATGGTTAAATTCTTTATAGATTTTCGACTGGAAGGTTTAATACTGTGCTTAGAACTGCAGGGCTGGAGATTTAGGAGTGTAGATGAGATATCTCAGAGATTTATATAGACTGTAATAGTCCATTTAGAAATTTGAATAATATCTTGGAAAAAGAAGGCTGCTGGAGACCTTTCACTTCCCAATTAAACAATCAAGAGCTGTTTTATCGAAAAACTGAATATATTATACACAGCTGTAAAATATGCATGTTTCTACATTAATGTCTGTAGGTATATTTATGTAAATTATTTATTCATGGCACGGATTCTAATTAGAACTCTTCAATGAATAGAAGTCTATTCAATTTTTCATGAGAGCATAGTAGCCAGATAATGATCATCGGAAACCCAAAGGTCATTTACAAACAATCAATTCGTCACTTTTAATCACTAACGCAAAATGACGCAGTATGCTTTGAGCGGGAAAATGAATAGGGTAGAAAATTATTGCTTTATTATAATAATAGATAGATAGATGCTAACAAAACATTCCAGAGTTGCTCAGCTGCTCTTCGAATCCAAGTAGAAATTCTGTAGAATTAAATATGCATGATGGCGACAATTAGAAACTTTGGCAATGGCAACTACAACGCCCTTTCAATTTCTATCCTAGAGGTTCTTTTCATTTTATTTTTATATATGATTTCCCCAAATACTTTCCTCGGTTTCCCACTGATTTCGTTTTTCAAAGTTTTTTTTTTTTCCTCTCTCGCTCTATTTTTGGGCTACCTCTCGTTGTAACCAATTAACCAAACCAAGAGTTCCCCTTTTCCCAAGATTATAGAAATAAAATATTTAGTTCATGGAATACGTTACTTTCTCAACCTATTGAAACACAAAGAGCCAATAACGCTTCTACTGAGGTTTGAACTCACAACCTTCCAAATGAAAGTCCAACCCGGGTACCATTAGACCACATAGTCCTGGTCGTTCTGGGGAATATACTTATTCTATTGTTTGTTTTTACCTTTTATTTTTGGGAGTAACATTCCTTAGAATGAGTTATTCCCTTTGCAGTGGAATAGTCATTCGTAGTATGAGTTTTACTACAAGATTTTCAATCTCTACTCCCTTACTTTTACTTTTTTCTCGAGTCCTTATTTTCTCTGATGAACTAAAAGGTGGGAGTATATTTTGAGAGTTCAAGTAGTATTTTTCTCTTAGTATAAGTTATTCTAAAGCTCTCGGGAATAATTTTTGTACTATAATACCAAAAAAATCCTTTACACACATCCTTATATAATTACTTTAATATAAAATATAATTTGTGATATTCATAATAATATTTTAGTACAATTTAATTTTGTTAAAATTATAGTTTAGGTAATTTAATTGCTAATTAATATACATTCAATATTAGTCTTGTTTTGATCATTTTAATAAAATATTTTATATGATATAATTTATATTTAATAATATAAAACCTGAGTAGAAGTATTTAACAAAATCTATAAATACATAAAAATAAAATAAAAGATAAAAAAGGAATTAAATAATAAAAAAGCATAATCTTTTAGTACATGCAATAAACAACATTGTGTCAAACGGCACAACCCATGCAATTAACAATAAGCGTTGGACAATGAACCCTTCAAATGAAAAATACCTTATCCATATATAGGATTAAAGGACTTCTCTTGGAATTAAACACCATCCTATCAGACCACATGGGCAAATTATGCCCTGGACCCGTGTCCACAGTGAATTGTGGACACGAGCCCAAAACGACGTCGTTTTTCAAAAAAAAAAAAACGCGTCATTTAGTTTTAAAAAAAAAAAATTTCGCGCGCGTTTTGCCGTTAACGGCGTTATTTTTTTTGGATTATGAATGTACAGTTATGCCGTTATGAATGTACAGTTATGCCGTTATGAATGTACAATTATGCAATTATGAAATTATGAACACAGAGCTCTAACATTATGAACTTACAATTATGAACATATATAGTGATAAAATTATGACCATGGAGCTTTAAAATTGTGAATATAGAGCTTCGAAGATTATGAATGTACAGTTATGGAGTTATGAATCTACAGTTATGAGATTATGAATCCACAGTTATGGAATTATGAATGTACAGTTATTGATCGAATTATGAACAAAGAGCTCTAACATTATGAACTTACAATTATGAACATATAGTGATAAAATTATGAACATAGAGCTCTAAAATTGTGAACATAGAGTTTCGAAAATTATGAATGTACAATTATAGAGTTATGAATGTACAGTTATGGAGTTATGAATATACAGTTATGGAGTTATGAATGTACAGTTATAGAGTTATGAACGTACAGTTATGGAGTTATGAATGTACAGTTATTAATAATATAGTAATAAAATTATGAATATATACTCCTATAACAAAGCGGTTTGAAATTAAAAAAAAAAAAAAAAAAAAAAAAAAAAAAAAAAAAAAAAAAAAAAGATAACAGTACCTAACGGCACTGTTACCCGTGTCCAGCAAGCATGCCGGACACGGGTCCAACGCATAACGATTGGACCACATGCATATTGCACTTTTAACATTAGGCACCGGGCCTCTTCGGCCCAGAATTTGCATATATATATATATATATATATATATATATATATATATATATATATATATATACACTAGTTTTTTTTTTATGCGCATTGCGCGATTGGGATAATGCCCAATGTTTTTTTTTTTAAATAAGTACTTTAAAGTATATCAAGTCAAGATTATATTGGAGTTATTCATGCATAGATAATTGAATGTTGAATTCACATTTTTAAACAGATAATTCTAAGTTTACAAATGCAAGATAATATAGTCAAGATTGATTATAATTGTCAATAAAATAATTGTATCCGTATGGTTGAAACCAAATACGGGACATAAGGGAGAGAAAATAAAAATTAGGGCATAAAATCTTAACTATAATATAGCCATATGGTTTGGTGAGCAATTATTATAACAATAATTGCTCACCAAACCATATAGTTATATTATAGTTAAGATTTATTTATTTATTTATTACATTGTGCATAAAAATTCAAATTAACCTTAAATCTAGAAATCTCAAAGGTCTAAAAATTTTGATCCGTGGTGACTCTGAAAATTGTAGTTCAATTACTATTTTAGT